ATGAATACAAGCAATGGCCAAAAAGTTGATTTGAAACAAGATTTAAGAAAAAAAATGGCGGCTGGACATTTTACCACAATACCTTGCGAACCTAACACTGCCAGTAGAAAACTAGAAAGCCATTTTTTTTAAGGAATTGGTACCCATACCAACAGCATGATTTGTGCTAAGTTCTCAGTTTTTAGAACTTTTTAATTTTTTTTTTATGCACAATGAAAAATGGGTAAATGTACCAGTCGCCATGTCTTTTTGCGTACTGTATTTCTTTAATTAAGCTCTTAGGGCACATAAAATTTTTGGACCATTAGAGTGGGCGCTTTTTCGAGGCGCTTAATCGAACCAATATGGTAACTTGGATTCTGTGTACCCCTTAAATTTTAAGATCAAAGTTGAATGAACTGACAATCACTCAACTGAGAATCACTTTGCAATTAATAGCATCAAATAAACCACTAGTCAAATGGTATTATAGGAGGGCATAAATTCACTGGTACAGCACAAACCCTCAGAATACGGTCAATCATTGGAACCTCTCCATTTGCAGCATTAAGGAAATCAGTTGGTAGTGTTCCTTCTAAAATAGTGTACTTGCGTCAGAACAATCCGATCACTCGCTCCACATGGATACGCACATTTGCAATTCCCTTGTTTTTCCACATCCACAGGGCCGAGCTGGGATTTTCCTTTTCGTGAATGCTGGAATCACCAACTTTGCTTGTTTTAAGCCGACACTCTCTGCAATGGTGAATCCTCTGTCCACCATTACCATGTCCCCAGGTAATAAATGTTCCAAAAATCCACAATTTTCGGTCAAATACTTATCAGAAGTGCGGCCTTCCCACACTTCTGACACAAAACATATGCTTCCTTGAGGGAAATACCAATGAGTATTTTTATAGTGTTGTGGTGCTTATATGAGGAGAATGTTTGGGCCCTTGCAAGTAAGTTTGATGGACATTCAATAAACAGCTCAAAACAATCGATTACCACAGTGACTTTCTTTCTGAAAGCATACTGAAAACAAAGTGGCATTGTGTTCCGTAACTGTTCTCTTTCGGGCCAAAAAACAAGAGTAGACAACTTGGCATCCAGCACCACCATCCAAGATGAAAAAATTCTAGAGGCTGTGGTCAAAGATATGTTAAATCGGTAAGCCAAGTGCTGAAGTGGCACATTTAACCGAAGTTTCATCAAAACCAGCACAAATTCTTGAAATCTGTCTAATGATTGAGTACAGCGAGTGACATCAGGAGCAACATGTTCAAATATCACCAAGAGTACTTCGTATGAAGGCAGACCTCTGTAAAGACGCACCTTCTCGTCACCTTTAAAGAATTCCCTGTCTGATGCTTGATAGCCGCTACTTTTAGGGACAAGATAGTCAAATTCTTCTGTCTGGGTTTCAGCGTCCTTGTCAGGCGCTTCTAAACAGCCAGTTTCTCGATATAAATAATCGAATGCCTCTGTTTGGGTTTCAGCGTCCTTGTTGGGCGCTTCACATCCGACAGTTTTTCGATATAAATAATCAAATGTTTCTGTTTGTGTTTCTACACCAGTTGCCATACTTTCTTCTTGTTGTTCTGCGTTGTTAGCACAAACAACTGGAGCATCTTCATGCGCAAGTTCCATCGCTTCAACATCTCCCGAGGTACTTGCTGAATCGCTGGAAAAATTTCTATCCACAACCCATGGACCGCTTTCATTCAGAAGTGTCATTTTCTTCGCCGCCTCGAGTTGCTGTTGTTCTAAGGCACTCTTCCTTCGAGCTTTTGCTCTTTCAGCCCGTTCAGTCGCCGCCTAGGAGCTTTATTCTCTGTATCTCTTTTTGCCAAGGTTTAAACTCAGAGCCCAATCGACGTTGTGCTTATTGCAGCACTGGGAAGGTTTCCCAGACACGAAGTGGTGGCCACAAACTCTTTCACTCTTGAAGATGTCCTTGTATTTCACATCGTCTCTGCTAATCGCAGAAATCCACCTCTCGCGCCTCATTCTCGTTAGTTCCTTCGTTTCTTCACCTTGATTATAAATAACCGAAGGTATACGAAACATACCAACTCCTTTTGCTGTATCGCTTTTGCTCGCACAGCTTACAACAATACACATAACCATTGTTACATCTAGGTCCTTCTCCAGTCGCGCGTCTCTTCGAGTCAGCTTTGTTTACATGTCAGGGGCACCAATATGGCGAACACTGCACGTGGTCAATTTACAGGTCACGTGGGTGAAAACCAAGAGTAACAGCAAGTGTACCTTGTTGTTTTACGTGGGAGCCTGCAGCATCCTGTTCTCCTTTCGCATGGGATGTCTTGAAATAGTTACGCTGAATCGGAAAACCAAAATCGGCTACACAGCAGGACAGGTTCCCAGTGCAGTACCTTGACTTGTATTGTGCAGCGCAGCCATCTGTGAACTCGTGCATTTTCTTAACAGCTACCTTAAGATCTTGGCTAAGGTATTTTGCTATGAGCCTCTGTGCATGATGCACAGAGTCGAAATCCTG